CGCGCAACATCCCCGCTGGAATCCCTGACGCCGCATCCGTCGCACGCTTCCGCTTTGCCCGGATGGACGAAACGCGATCGTCGATCGCGGATCGCTGCTTGTAATGTAACTGTAAGCGTAAAACGAACGCTCGAGGAGCCAACGTTCGATCGACGATCGATAGGCATACGCAATTTTCAGAAATCGTCACGCGACAGCCTTGTTCCGATTTTTCCACGGCTGACCCATTGGATTTTGCAACGCTCGCCACCACCGTCCGAGCACAGATCCAAGGGAAAAAAAGGGCACGCGAATGCATAATTTCTTCGGCCGTCGCGCCGCGCCGCACGGTGACGCTGTGCGCCTGTCGTTCCGAGATGCGTGCTCGAGGTCGCGCGCGGACCACGCTTTTCTCGATCGGTGATCCATGGATCGTGGTACGGTCGTTATCGTCCCGATCCACGATCCATGATAAATCGATAAATCCGATAAATCCGATAAAGCCGATAAAGCGTCGAATCGATCGGCGACGCGAGGCGTCGAGGCGTTCGGTAGATCGGAGCGGTTGGAAACTTTGCGAAAACTCGTGTTCGCGTAACGGTTAACGAGAAACGGGCAGCGGGTAGCGGGTAGCGGTGGAAAAATAATGAAATAATAGTTATGCCGCCTGTTGTTGCGCAAGCTGCGAGTCTCGGTGAAAGCGCGTTAAGGAAAAAGAGCAACATTTTCCAGAGACTCGACGAGAATCGACCAGTTTTACGGTTCGTCGTAAAAAGCGATATCGTTTCGAGCATTTCGAACCGATCGTCGTTCGTAGAACTAATCTTTCTTTAAAGAAAATTCTCGTTGCATCTTGTACGTTCGTTAGAAATTCTGCATATTAAATTACACGCGCCGCGCGGTACGGCACTCGGTAACATCGTCGAAACAGTTCGGTGGAATCGAACAGCATTCCCCGAAGTTTCTCCGATCGTTTACGTATACGCTTCGCGACTCGACTCACGCTTCGCGCGACCGCGATCGGTGAATTTTCGGAAACGGAAGCGACCTGAAGATTTTTTAATCGGCCCCCTAATTTCACGATCGGGTCCACCGGTTGGATCATCGATCGATTTTCGGAGTCTCCCGCGCCCTACATATCTGCGATCGGTTTTCTCCACGGTGTCGCAGGTCGAAGAGCAACGAATAAGAAGAAGAAGAAGAAGAAGAAGAAGAAGAAGAAGAAGAAGAAGAAGAAGAAGAAGAAGAAGAAGAAGAAGAAGAAGAAGAAGAAGAAGAAGAAGAAGAAGAAGAAGAAGAAGAAGAAGAAGAAGAAGAAGAAGAAGAAGAAGAAGAAGAAGAAGAAGAAGAAGAAGAAGAAGAAGAAGAAGAAGAAGAAGAAGAAGAAGAAGAAGAAGAAGAAGAAGAAGAAGAAGAAGAAGAAGAAGAAGAAGAAGAAGAAGAAGAAGAAGAAGAAGAAGAAGAAGAAGAAGAAGAAGAAGAAGAAGAAGAAGAAGAAGAAGAAGAAGAAGAAGAAGAAGAAGAAGAAGAAGAAGAAGAAGAAGAAGAAGAAGAAGAAGAAGAAGAAGAAGAAGAAGAAGAAGAAGAAGAAGAAGAAGAAGAAGGAGAAGAAGAAGAAGAAGAAGAAGAAGAAGAAGAAAGCGAAAAAACGAAGTCGATGGGGGGTCGACGCGGACGCGGACACGTAATTCTTTCGTTGATATCGTAATTGTCTACGGTCTACGGCCTACGATATAGGACCTACGGATCGCTGATTCAGCTTCTCTTGACGTCACTGGGAATCGTGCGACGTGACCGTGCTGCCAATGGTTTTTCGATCGCTTTTGAATCGCCGATCTCTCTCGGTCTTGACCGATATCTTCGTAAATTTTCCAGCTTTTCTACGAGCAGCGGATGTCCGATAGCGATGCGTAGAAATTTGCTGGAATTTTCGAGGCACGGACGCTCTCGATACGAAATATGATTTTTCCACGATCGTAGAAACTATTAAATATTCGATATTAAATATTGCGGCATCCTCTGTGCCTCGATCGCGTTTCTCGTCACGTTTCGCGGTCCGCGAACGAACGTGCGAGGAACGCAAACGCGCGATTGCGAGCAACCGCTCGATTCTTGGACGCGTCGCGTCGCGCCGCGGCCCGCCGCGTCGAAACGATCGATCGATCGATCGCTGTAAGCTGTAGAGGATCGCTTTTCCTCCTTCAGCCTCGGGCCTCGAGTTTCCAGATTCGCGACGAAACTCTCGCCGATTCGCGCGCTATTCGATAGATCCCTGCTTCGCGCGAGTCGCCGAATCGTTGTTCCTTGGCCAGTTTCTACGATAGATCGACGCGTCGCGCACCCGTTTCCAGCCGTTTCCAGCCGTGATATTCGAACAACTTTCTACCGATTTTCGTATTATTTCCCTGGGATCGACGAGCGCGGCTGAAACGCTGAAATTTATGCGGCGGCATTCGAGGCACCGATGCTTTTTACGGTGTCTTTTTAAAACGATGGAGGGACAAACGGTCCTATTGGCGCGCTTCGTTGTGAAAGCTGTCGATCGATTTTGCTCGACAGTCGCGTTAAACGGGCCACGGTTTCCTTCGAATAAACGGCCGGCGAATCGCGCTGCCGGGGGAACGATCCTGCCAACGACCGTGGCAACGCTTTTCGGTCTTATCGAACGATTCCGATAAATCGACCATGATTGATCGGTTGCTACGAGCGAATGCTCGTTTACTATCGGAGTCGAGCGATTACAGCAACGGCAACGACTCGTTTAGTTTCGTTTCGTTCGTTCGTTTCGACGAAGCGAGACACCTGCGCGCGACGCGACCGACGCGCCCGTTCCAAACGAAACCATCTAGCCACAGTCGCCGATCGTCGAAGAGAAATTGACCGGGAGACGAGCGACTAGAATTCGTTCGTCGGACCTAAGGCGCGCGAGCAGCGAGGAGCGCTCGGCGAGCGGAGAAATAAAACACGGTAAAAATCGAATGGAAGGATGGCCGCTGCAACGGCGGATCCGTCGACAACGAGATACGCGAATGTCCCCTCTGCACCGAGGTCAACAGTTTGTTACGGGGACGATGATGTTCCGAGAGGGTAGAAACGTCGACTCGAGACGCGGCGTGGCGGCGGTTGATTGACCAGCGCTGCGCGGCAACCAACCATCGCATCGCATCGCATCGGTCACAGCAGAGCACACTCGCAATCAATCGCGTAATCGCGTAATCCCGTACACGCGACATGCAACGTAGAAACGTAGAAACGTGGAAACGTACAACAGCGTACCTTTGAAACAATAACAAGAACGATCTAGCGTATTGAAACTAACGAGAACAAATGATACGTCGGCGCATTACCCGGTGCGTCGAGCCGCGTCTTGTTCGTTCGCGACCAAAGAGGCTCGACCGAAGAGGGACACCCGGCGAAGGCGAATAGGCGGTCGGCTTGTTCCGTCGGGTGATTTAAACCTCGTCGAGCCATTCGACGAAATCTCGTTCGTCTCTCGAAACGCTCGTGGAGCAACTATTGGGCGTAACATCTTTCGGCAAACCGGAAGAAACGATCGCGCCAAGAATTCTTTTCAGAGAAAGCGACTCGAAACGCTTTTCAAAAATAACCTCGGATATATGGAACTTTCTTCAATTTCTCGATCGCGCCTGGAACGACCGCCTCTGTTGCGCTATGATCATTTACGTTTCGAAGAATCGTTCGTTCGCAACGATATCGTCGATTAACCGAAACCTTAACAACCTCGATAACGTTGCCAAAGCTAGGACAATCCAAAGAATCTTTGAGCTGTATCGAACAACAACGTGCAGAAAAGAACGAAACGAAAAGCTTAAGAAATTTTACACGGTCCTTCTCCTTCTCTCTACAGCGAGAGAGAGAGAGAGAGAGAGAGAGAGAGAGAGAGAGAGAGAGAAAGAGTTGACCCCGTTAAATTGTTTGTTTGACGTACAAAACTGCTCTTTAAGACGGTCGAGGATACTTGTTGCGCACGCGTTCCGTGAAACTAACTCGATAAGCGATCTACGAGAAATCGAAAGTTCGGAAAACGAAGAAATAAAGCCGGAGAACGGGAGCAGGAAAACGTGGTTAGAACGATTACGTGGCTGACGCGAACCGCGAATCGCGAACAATATCGGTCTTGTAATTTCTAATTTGATCGCGACATCGAACGATACCGATGCTCGAAGCTTCATTCACGGCTTCCTGAAATTCTCCTTATTTCCGTATATCCCGATTCGCTTCGAAGTTCGTATCGACCGCGAACGCCGATATCGCCGACAGCGTCCCGAACGACGCGCGGTCGCTTCGTTGTCGCGGAACATTTTGATCTACCGATCGAACCCCCGCGATCTACCGTACGAAACGTCTAGTCTACGCGCACACGCGTAGGACGTACGCGTGTTGCGTAACGCGGGTGTCTCGACTCGGCAAATATCCTTTCGATATCGTTCCGATGGAAATCCTTTCGATCTTTCGATCGATGATATTCGATTCGGTTCCCGCGGGTCCGAACCGTTCGACGACGATGCCGTGTCGGATCGACGACGATGCCGCAGCCGTATCGTGCCTCGCGAATGTTTATCAAATAAATAACCGAGTTCTCTCTCGTTCGAAGCATCGCCTCTTCGACACCTGTCTCGGCGAACCGATATGCAAACATTCGACGCTTAAATATGCACGGTTCGTCGTTACTCGTCGCGGTATCGCCCCGCGAGGCGCGTCGAAACCTCGCAACGCGATCCTTCCGATTCTCGAGCAGCTCGAAACGATCGCTTTTCGGCGTGGCCCTGCGCGCGAGCCTACGAATTAGTCGTCGTTCGACTACCAGGTTCCGCGTAACCGCGTGTAACGCGATTCGCGCGTACACGCGGCACGCGCACGATTCTTTCGCAACGTCGAATTCGAATGAGATCCGAGGAAAACCGAGAATCGCAGGGGGCGAGTGCGTTCGCAAGCGATCGCGCGTCTTCCAGATACCGGAGCACTGTGGACCACTCGTTCCCGAATCGAGTAGCTCTAACCTTGCGGTTCGTCGAATCTTCTCGTCCAAGTTTGTTGGTCAGCTTCCACACGCGGGTAGACGTTGTCGCAGAAAGTTTCGTTGTCGTTCTCGGTATTCCTTTCGTCGACGTTCATCCGCACTGCAACCTGTCCGAGCACCGACGTGTCATCCTCGACGATACGACCAACCGACGACGAAAGTGTCGCGAACGAGGCCGAGTTTGAGCAGTAGCGCGGTGAAATGCTCGATTCGAACTGAGCGCCGATACTCGCGCTGCTAGCCGTGAGCCGTGAGCCGTGAGTCGTGAATCGTCGGAGACTCGCGAGTCGCGAGCCAGGACACGCGCCTCTCGCCACCACTCTCGGTCTCTTCGGTCTTCGCTTGCACTCTCTCTCTCTCTCTCTCTCTCTCTCTCTCTCTCTCTCTCTCTCCTCTTGCCGTAGTTTCTTTCTTTCTCGACTCGTCGAGTCCGTCTTCCTCGGCCGAGAATTTCATTTTCTCGCGCTTTCGCAATTTGTCCATCGGACGTGATGCTGCCTGAAATTTCGAAAAAAACTTGTCAACGTTGCGTTTCGAATTACGCGCGAT